AAGAAAATCTAATGGGAATTTCTGCTGAAGGCAATATGAATTGTATTTTAAAGCAACTTAATGAACATATTAATTCCAAGGCATTGATGGTGCAAAAGTCATGATCGAAATAGAGGAGTACAAATCTGCTTCTCAAAAAAATTAATAAAAAATTATCTTGGTGTAATAATATTATATTTTTTATATGCATTGTATAATTTTTCTAGGCGTTTTAAATTATCCTATAAATATGCAGGTCATACTCTTAAGATAGACCAGAGGTGGACTGGTTATTTAGAAACATCTCGTATTATTTATGAGAATTGTGAGGCATTGGTGAAATATTATTTTACTCTTCTAATAGAACTTTTAATTCAGTGGTATCACCTCATGATTCAGTTGAAACCTCCGGTCCTTTATCTAAATGCATTAATATGAATTGTATTATATTGGACAGTATAATTTGTGAAGTAATAATAATAGACCCACTAAATAAGTGTCAATAGTTACTAGTAGAGTGGATGATAAAAAATTGTATTAACATATATTAAAAAATAATAAAGTGATAATTTGATTTGATAAGAACTATGGCTGAAGCGTATATCAATATTTAATCTCATCCTTCAAAAATCATCAAGGGTACTTAAAACGCCAACAAATCTTTAAGATTCTTTCGGCGATGCCAAATTGCAATTTGATTGAGAAAGAACTCCAATTAGAGTTCTTTAAAAAATTATGAAATTATTTTAGATCGTCTTTTAGATGGATTTACACAAGATGTTAATAATCTTCTATCATGTTTTAACACATTGCCCCCCCCCCCACACCTTATTCCTGAGTATTTTATATCCTATAAAATGACCTCGTTAGAATCATTATTAAACTTAAATGTGGAAACGTTACATCATGTAAAGAAATAGCAAAAGAATTAATAGCTACAGAAGTTAAACACATAATTTTAAAAATATCGTAAATTTTATGTATAAAAAAGAATTGTATTAATGATAATGAGCAGCCATGATCATTGTGGTATCAAGGGCTTATTGTGAGTCCTCATTCTCTTTACTAAAAAGAGTTCTATCGAGCACTAGAAAATCGATGAAAGATTGACGTAAACAAAATTTATTTAATGGTTTGTGAAAAAAAAACACAAAATTTGGCATTTAATTCATTTATGTTAAAATAATAAAAATCGTCGAGTATTATTTTGTATTCATATTTACATTTACAAATTTATAATAAAAATAGCAAAAATTTATATGAGTGTCTAACCTTTCAAAAAGATATTGCCCTCCCCCCTAAGTAGTTGCCCTCTGATTACGGCCCTGATATAAATAATTATCATAATATTTATTCATTCAGTTACTTAAATAGGCTGACACATAAAGAAAGCACAAAATATTAAAAGTAACATTAAATTATATAATAGTATGACATTTTCATTTTTTATAACTTGAAATGATAATTGAAAATTCTAAGAATATTTTCTGTTGACAGGGTTAGGCTATAACGTGAATACTTGTATTTAAATACTAAATATAAATAATTTTTTGTATTCTATATTTAATTGAATATTTAAGAAAGTATTTATATTTTAAATACTAAAATAAAGTATTTTATAAATTACGATTTCAGAACAAATACTTTTATTTTTATTACAAATTGAATTTTAAATTATCCACAATTTATTAATTAAAATATTATATTTGTGATCAGAGTTAGCGAATTAACATATCCGTTTATTTTTAAAATAAATATTTACGAAAATGAAATCGATATAATTTTTTTTAACAAAGATAATGATATAGAACTAAAGGAAGATATGTATTATCTGTAACACTAACAATGCCCCTATCCTCTATATACCATTTAGCAATTATAGATAAATAAGAAATTTTTGAGCAAATCTCTCGCATGGGAACATTATATTTCTTTTATTTTCAAATTTAATATTCTTATTTTGGCATTTTTTTGTAAATCTTTGAAATTTATATAAAGTTCTAAAATGTTATATAGTATTTTTATAAATATTATATAATGAATGTAATTTTTAAATTATTTTGTATTTGAAAAATATATAATAATACTATTAAAAAAAAGAACGGAGATGGTGTGACGCAGGGGAACAAAAATGAAAAAGGGACGTAAGCGTTGTCTATGATAGCTCTTTGGCTAGAAGGCTACCATTGAAACTGATATAATTAGCTTTGTGAATCGCTATGGATAATCGTTGACGAAGAAAAAAACCCTCTCGAGGTTCTTCTGAGAGTTTGCTGATTTGTGATCCTAATTTTTTGAAAAATGCTAAGGCGAGTTTGCCGAAGGTGCCAAGAGTGGTTGATATGGTTGGGATGAAGCAATGATCGTTTATTATTTCTGTGTATTTAGAAATTTTAAGTTGTTCCTTCTGGTCAAGGATGTTGATGGCGTGGTTGGATGGGGCCAAGGGGTCAATACAGGAATAGTCCCATACCAAAAGTTGGCCTCTCCTCCATGGGATTTGAGAGATCCCATCAGGACGTTTACCGTCAGATCTAAATAGACCCTGTGGTTCTAACGTGGAAGGAATTTGGGCGGATTTCAGAGCATGTTGGATGATTGTATTACATTGCTTGTGTCTGATGAATTGTCCATTGCAGGAGCGACAATGTAAACTATGTCTACCCTTCGAGTCAACTGGCGAGTTGCACCCTGAGCAGATGTGGGGGTGAGTGATGGAACAATTTAGACGAATGCCGATGGCATGGGTAAATTCATTGTTGGATAGTTGAAGCTGAAGATTGGTAGATGGGATGGCCTCAAGAAACTCATGTCCCGTACCATTGAGCAAGGAAAAGAATAGGGTGCGGTCGGTAGATTGCATGCTAGATAAGAGAGTTTCAACGCAGCGAGCAACCACTGGTGCATCCCAGTCTTTTTGTTTATTTGTTGTGGGGGGATGAGAATCAGCATTGATCCTTGTTTTCCAAATATCCATAGCCACGATTAAGGAAAGGTCTTCTTTAGAATTATGGGCGGTGGTTATTGGCTTTGTCAAGAGACTACTCGATATGAAAGTAGTTGTTGCTAAGTCAAGTGGAGATCTGATGCCGAGACCACCAAATTTGGTTGGAAGAGTTGCTTGGGCCCAAGCGGTTTCGTTGAATCTGATATTTACTATTTTTTCGGTTAAGTCCTTTATTCCTTTTTCGTAAGTTTGGAGAGGAATAGGATATTTAAAAATTGGTGTTGACCGAAGTGCGTAAAGAATCCTTGGTATAAAAAAGAAATTTTTTAGCAAAAAAAAGGACTTGTGTGATGGAAGAAGTGTAAAGATGTTCTCCAGTTTAAGGAGTATGTCAAGTGAGGAATGATTTATTTGAATTTTTTATTTGCTTTATACTCTCTATAAAACTGTACAATTAATGATATTTTATTTGCAATTATAATTATAACATAAGTTATCTGATATGCTGTTGCAATAAATATATTTATATCATTGCAGATAAAATATGATTGGAACATTTTCGATATGATGATATATACATAAATTTTAAAAAAGAATTAATATTTTTATATTGGTGCATAAATGACTTGCATAAAGTATTCGTTAAATTATTTGTGCAAAAAGTATTCGTCAAAGTATTTGTATTTGAATACTTATTTTTTAAACTTTTATATAGGTATTTGTATTTAAAATACATTTTCTTAAAACTTATTTTGTATATATATATAAATATATCTAATATATATAATCTCCATAATCAAAACATGATCGTTTTCGTATCTTCCTAATGTATTCAAAATTTAAGGAGACTATATAGTGTAATGTTATTTTTTTGCTTTAGCCTCCCGTTTCAAAGTCGTATGTTTTAAGCATGCACCAACTTGAATATAATTAAATTTAAAATATTAATTGTATATATATTAATATAGCTGATATTTTTAAAATTCTGCCCTTTATTACCATACTAGCTGACGGGGTTGAAGGGTAATTATTTAGTTTGTGTGTATGGTACTGAAGAAATGTAAAAATATTATTTTTCAATCTGTTTATTTTCTCTTTTTCTTATCGTTTATATAACATTTTTTACAAACTAAAATCATATTAAGATCATTATTCAACATTATCCTTCTTCTAAAAGAAGCCTCCCATAGAATCTTCCAAGCTGTCATAGAATGTTTGTTGTCTAAGTGGTTTATTGTTTTAGTTATCAAGTTGTTTCATAAGTCATCGTAATCGATGGTTTGTCCCAATCGTTGGTTTGTTTAAATCGATTTTGCACGTTGGTTTGTTTATATCGTAAGCTTGATATCCTTATCGTAAGTTGTCTTTATAAATCATGATTTCATCATGTAGGTTGCTTGGTAATGCTCAGTCGTTATTATTATCATTTTTCAAAATTGTTATTATCATCCGTCAGTCACGAATAATTAGAAATAATAATTCATCAAGTTGGATATAAAAATAAGTGAAGAATGATAAATCAATAAGATTGTTATATAAAATTTTCAGCGTTTTAATTTTTCGCGTTTTAGTGTCCAATTTATTTTTTCGCGTTTTAGTGTCCGATTTATTTGTTCGCGTTTTAGTGTTTAAATTTATTTTTATTTATATATTAGTATTTATGCAAATAGATATTATGCACATTTCCCTCTCTTTAAAAAAAATTAAAAATTTTTAATTATACCTAAGAATTCATCTTTAGGTAATTTGTGTTAATTAAAATATTTTTGAAAGCGTTGATTCATGTACGTCCCAACAAGGCATTTTTCCTAGACTCATCGACTACCGCTTGTAAATATTTTGAGATAACTTCATAAGTCACTTCTTGTGTAATGCCGATGATCTTAATTAAATTTCCGTCATAAGCGGTAAGTTGTAACTCGGATCTATTAACATCTCTAATACCAAGTTTTTTAGCCAGACCATGAGGTATGATGGTGTGTTTGGATCCCGTATCAACTTGCATAGTTGTGTAGTTATAGTTATTATAATTGTCGTGGTATCTAGAATTATTATTACCGTAATTCCTATCATACTATCTAAAATTATTATTGTCGTAATTCCTATTTTTATTCCTATTATAATTATTATCTCTATTATCATAATTTTGTCTAAAATTATTTCTAAAATTATTATCAGGTCTAAAATTATTATTGTTATTTCTATTTCTAATGTTAAAGTTTTTATCTTTGTCAGACTTTTTATCGTAATTCATATAACTTATATTATCTGGTTTATTATTAATGCTATCTAATCTACTTCCTATCTCCACCATTTCGTTTAAGGTTAAATTAGTATTTTTACTTAATTTATATTTTATTTTATCATTTAAGGTAGACGTTCTTAATTTTTCTTTTATCCTACTATCATCTGAAAAATCACATTTTTTATTTAATTTAGATACTCTAACGTACCATTCCAAAAAGTTTTCATTATAATTTTAGTATGATAAGTTAAATTTGTTGATTAAAATATTTTTATCCTGTATTGGTAAAAGGTATCCTAATTTCTTAATCACTATCTTAAGATCTAAAATCTCAGTACTTGAATAAATTGATTTAATATTATCAAACACATCATCAGATAAATTATTAAGTAAAGTATTTATTTTAATGGAGTCCGATACTGTGCTGGTCGAAAAGTAACTTAACACCCTATCTAAGTAAATCTCAGTCAGTGGTCCAATAAGTTTCGGAAACTTATAAGGTGTAAAATCAGGTAATTTTATATCCATTTGAACCCGTTGAAACCCAAGCCAGATACATTGCTAACTAGATCAGCTGTAATTAATTTATATATAGAGAGAGTTTATAAAATAACGCAAAAATATAATATATCATGAACAAAAATGTTAAGTGAATACGCGTTACATAATACAATTCATATTAAGATCATTATTCAACAGGTACTGAATATACTTTATTAATAAATTTTATATAAATATTAAAATTTAGGAGAGAAAGAGGTAAAATTGTTGCAATGTATACCGTGAGCATGTATTAGAAATATCAAAATTTAAATTTGTGATGGAAATCATATTGGATAAAATTTATAATAGAGATGCTTTAAGATTTTTGAATTTTATATTTTTGCAGACATAGCCAGGCCTGATCAAAAAACCAAGTCCCATGTAACTTTTATAAAATTTTGCCATTTATTTTTATTGTAATTTAATAAAAAATGTCTAAAATTTAATTTTATATTTAGAATAAAATTTAGATTTGTGATAGAAATCATATTGTGTAAAATATAAAATAGAAATGCTTGAAAATTTTTTAATTTTAAATATGGGCTAGACATTGGCCTGAAAATTTTTTTTTGCAGAAATCCCCAGGCCTGATTAAAAAACCAAGCCCATGCAACTTTCATATTCTGATTTTATTTTTAAATGAATTATGACTTTTATATATTTTATTTCAGTTCTCAACAACAAAATTATTATGGTCTTTAGCGGGCTTGAGAAAATTTTCCCAACAATATAGTTTTCAGAGATTTACCTATCTCCAGGCTTGGAAAAAAATTACAAAATTATTATGGATTGGCCAGGTTTGAGAAAAAAAAATTCAGGCTAATGTCTGGTCCATATTTAAAATTAAAAAATTTTCAAGCATATCTATTTTAAATTTTATTCAATATGATTTCTATCACAAATTTAAATTTTATTCTAAATATAAAATTAAATTTAAGACATTATTATTAAATTACAATAGAAATAAATGGCAAAATTTTGGGAAAGTTGCATGGGACGTGGTTTTTTGATCAGGCGTAGCTGTGTCTGCAAAACAAAATTTTGAGGCCAATGTCTAGCCCATATTTAAAATTCAAAAATTTTGAAGAATCTCTATTTTTAATTTTACCCAATTTTTATTACAAATTTAAATTTTGATATTTCTATTACCCTTAATACTCATGGGTTACATTGCAACAATTTTAGTCTAAAAAACCCCCGGAAAATAAACCCCTGGATTTTTTTCCAATATTTATAGAATTTACTTAAGACCTAATATATAGGTATATTTTTATTTGGATTATAATAGATATACTCATATTTATAAAATATAGATAAATTAGTATTTTAGAAAAAAATATTATAATATATTAATAAGCTAAATTTCTTTAGGCCCTAATTCATTATTTAAAGATTTCTCATATACCCTCCATAAAAAAATGCTTATACAAGATAAAATGCTGAAGTTCAAATTGGTACTGGGAAAAAATACCCCAGTAAAATAACCCATGTATTTCTTATTTTCGTAAAGATCATTTGCTATAGTAATAAATACAATATCCATCCTTAATTACGATATTAAGTAGAATAAATTTGAAAAAATTTTGTAATAAAATATATTTATTTTATTGATAAATCATGATTATATATACAAATTTAATCATTCAGAATAAAATTTATATTGATTGACATCGAATATTGAAGGAAATCGCTCTTATAAAATCTGGAAGGCTTTGCACCCCATCACGGTATTCCTCGCAAAGTTTCTTTAACCGAATCTGGGTATTATAACTCTGCGATTTTTTTCGGTGTCCAACTATCTACATGCCATCGTTCAAGTTTAGTTTAATCGGTAGCCACCTCACATTTCATTTTTTTTAATCAATACCCAAATTGATTGGTGTTTATTCCCAACCAGATTAGAAAAACGATGATTCCAACCTTCGCATTGATTATTTGTGCGTTCTTCGTTGGATAGAGTACTCCTATTCACGTTCCAAGTTTTAGGAGGAAATCGAGGCTCAATTCGACATGTTTGGAATTGAGAATTGCTTCTTGTGACAAATTCTATAAATATGAAAAAAAAATCCGGGGTTTTTTTTCCCTGGGGGTTTATTTTCCGGGGTTTTATTTCCTGGGGGTTTTTTCCGGGGGTATTTTTCCTATTACCAAATCATTATAAAATGACTATTGGTAGAGCTAGTTGTAAACAAAATAAGATAGTATAGCGAAAAGCAAAACAAGGGATGAGAATAATTAGTTAGCATGATTGGTGAAGGAGTGATTGGGAATAAATTCTAACCATGATGGGAAATTTAAATACAAAGGAATGCTAGAATCTAAAATATCTCCAGAAATTATTTTGGTGTATTTCTAGAATAAAGGGATGATAAAGATCGCTAAACCTTGAATTATTAATTTTTTATGACTGTTTTCAGAAATATTTTTTAAAAAATGAAATCATTAAATCATATAATAAGGCCCTGTTTTGATAAGCGTTTTATTTCACGTAATGATAAGCTTATTTTTCATTTTTGAGGTTTGCATGGCATGCGGTATTGGGTTTATATTCAAATATTCTTTGATTAAACGGACTAATGAAAAAAATCTATAATTTAAATTTCCATTACAGAATATTTGTGAAAGCATGTTTATTTTAAAAATACATAGCAAATTAAGCGAACCAATAAGCTTTTTGTCACATGGAAAAAATGTTTGAATAGCCTTTCAAATTATAAATTTATTTAGTTAATATTTAAATATTCAATATTTACGCTAAAAAGAATTTATCAACCCTGTATATCGCTGTGGAACAAATTTATAACTAGTGTATTAAACATATTTTAATAATTAGATAAGGAAAGAAAAAAAATTAAATATGGAATTTATAACAATTTTATACTCGGCTGGTTAATTATGGTGAATTAAATTATCATTTTGGGTAAAATTTTTACAATAACGTGATTAACAAAATTGATTTATAATAAAGGATCGTGGTCGTTCAGTTATTTTGATAATTATTATTTGGGAAAAATGCGTTATATAAGATTAATATATTATAATCTACGCTTCTATAAACAATTTACTTAATATTAAAAAAATAATTAAATCATAGTTAAATTTTAAAGTTAGATAGATTGTTAAAAGGAAAATAATAAAAAAAATTTAGAAAACCACTTAGCCTTGACATTTATTTTTGAGAGTTAAAAATAGGTTATTATAACAAGGATTTCTACTAAGGGTTTAAAAATAATTAAAATAAAAGTAATTTTTTCATTTAGTAATGCAAATATCCTTTATTTATTTATAATTGAATATACCAAATGATCTTTTAACAATTCAAAAGTGAAAGTAATTTGAATTGCCATTAATTTTGTAAAATGATTTATTGTTTGAAGTATATAAATGATAAAGTTATAGATATTAACGAAAGAAGAATCATTCCCATCAATATCCACTGATATTTATAGCTATTCAACATTTTGTTAGTCCTCACTGATCTTTTGTTCACAAATGCACGCTTTTTATAATTTTCTTTGAATTTAATAAAATTATTTAACAAATTTAGACCCGGAAAGTGTCCATAATTTTTCCCTGGCTCTGGAAACAAAACTTTTAGAACAGTAAATATTTCGATCGACGTAGGTAAGATTTGTTCCTGGGGCAGCAAAAATGTGTATTCATTTTTGTTTCTCAACTCAATTACCATGGAGTACTTAACTTTTGCATATCTGTAGATCCAATCCATACTGGTGCCTGGAGCAATGTATAAAATCACACTGGCTTGCCCATATTCGTATATTGTTCCGTTTATACCCTCAATGGTTTTGGACATGGCTTTTCCGATTTGCAAAAATTCATCCAGCTCTCTTGTTGCGTCTTTGGTATACGCGTTTGGAAACATAATCAATTGTCCATACGAATGAAGGCTTAGAAAGTAAACCAATTTATCGCTGTGCTTTAGGGCAAAGTTTCTTATAGCGATAGTTTCTGGTTCAGAAAAGGAATGAGGTCCCGAAAATTCATTGCTACACGTGTTCGTGTATGAAATTTGTTCGATCATCGAAAATTGTTTTTCTTGACCCCAACCTATATCCCAATTTCGATTTAAATCCACCCCTATGCATGGGGTAGAATAATCCGACCTTACATCCCTTTTTTTATCTTTGGTAAATGGATTTTTAATAGAACCAGCAATATCTACAATATTCTCATTTCTTTTATTTTTTCTCCATAATCTAGTGTTAGTGAATGAGTATTCGTAGCCATCCGGATTAACATTTGGGAATATGATCCAATCTAATTGAGAGGTCATATAATGGCTAGAGGGGTCTTTCAGCAAGTAGTGAATAAGATTTAGAGCGACTGCTGTTGTTATCCATTCTCGGGCATGTTCTCCCGCGATTATCAATACGCTAGGTTTATTTTGAATACTAAGATCTTGACTCAATATGAGGCCCTTGATTGATCTATTTTCCCATGTGTAACCTAGGTCTAAAACTTTCGCTTTTGTTGGATAATCTTTTTCTAGTTCTTGTAACCATCTATAAATTTCTTCTATCCTATTGTAAGCTTGGAGAGATATGGTATCATTAAGCCCTAAAAGAATTTCAACGTTTTTCTGCTTTTCAATATCGAAATGAGTTTGTAATTCGGGAATCATTATTCTCATTTTTTTATGATCCATTGTATACCACTCCTTACGTGAATAATCAGGCTGAATTTGGCGCTTCTTTTTAACATCGGAAATATATAAATTTTTGGATAGGTCGTTGAATGTATCGGGGCCGACTATCAAATTTAACTTTTGTCCAACATTCAGTGGTCTTCTCAAAAATTCAACATCTGCCCTTATAAAATAAAACTTAAATCATTTTAATTTAAAATAACTTACCCTTTCCAAATTGATCTTTTATAGATATTCTTTAAATAATTTAAATCATTTTTATCATGGATAGACACTTCTATCAATTTATATCCTTTATACTCCTTGCAATCGCTGATAAAATATAAGTTTATGATTATGATGAATGCGAAATTCAAAATTTTATGAGTGAACCCTGGCGGAAAAATCACAAATTGGAGAATAATTGCCATAGTATTTTCCCATTCAATTAGTCGAATTTGGGCTAGCACATAACGGATCAGAGTAAATATTAAAAATAAAAGTAAATATCATTGTGTTATGTTATCATTATAATTGAAATGACAATAAGCGAATTCTAAGAACATTTGCTATTAAAATTCTGAATGCATGAAAATAATATAATAGAAAATATTATATTTATATAGGTTATTTTTTTACTTCAATCATTTTACATGTTTAGTAATTTGGTGAGGTATCTATCCCCTGTGATTTCATAAATTTTGACTTATTGAAAGTTATTGGAAATTTCATATTTTCTTGAGAAATTTCCCAAATTTTTCTTTAATATACAAATATTTGTTTTTATTGTAAGAAATAATTAATATTAAATTAATTTTTTCCCTCACGATTATATCCATGTTTTTCTTCCTTTATTTTATCAAATTCCAAAAATTGCAATCAAATTAAAAATCATAATTATATTACCTACATTATTAATACCATTCGTCAATATTATTTATATTGTAAATAACATATATTTTATCATCCGGTCAGCATGTTTCAAACTTATTTTTTACTAGTGTAAATCCATTTTACTTAATTATACATAAGTTTAAATGTATCAATCAAAAGAAATATAGAGAAATATCATATATATATGTTGTATTATATCAATCAAAAGAAATAGAGAAATATCATATATATGTTGTATTCCATATTAAATCAACCAAACAAACTCGATTCTCAACCCGACCCCCTTCGATTTTTTTGAAATTGTTGGTAGTATATACACAAACTAATAAAAATTTAAAATTTTACTTTTCAAATTGGCTTACATATTTAAAACTAACTATAGTGTATTTTGGAATTTTCGCGTTTCTAAAAATGGCTATATCTCATGAAATAAGCTGAGTTAGGAATTAAAATTTTCTATTTTTAATAGTCAGTGTATATACTACCATCATCATACAAATTTTTGAAAAAATCAAAGAGGGTCGGGTTTTATCCATAATGCATTCGTGATATATTTTGCAGAAAAAGTTTTGCGGTATTGACGTGATAAGTAAAAAATTACAATAAGATAAATTTTTGATTATAAATATTAAAGAATATACAAATCTAAAAATTATATACCATGTCTATAAAAAAAATATATTAAAACATAAAACAATATTTAAAAATAAAATTATTTTTTAAAAAGAACTATTTAAGTTAAGTAGACGAGGCTTAATGATCCATAGAATATATAATTTTATACATTATATAATAAAAACGAACAACCAAAATAAGTAAACATTTAAAAATTCACTCTATCACAATGTGTTTACTATATGCCACAAGGTGTTATAAAAAATAAAGAGGTTTTTAAATATAGAAAAACCAAGAGGGTATTAGTTGGGATATTACGAATTTTTTTCTAATTTTTTTATTATAAAACAGAGTTTGTTAACGTTCTTTTTTAAAAGTAGCTAGCTCCCGCTCCTACCTTCTCAAAAGGAGTTAGGTCCCGCTCCAAGTAATGGAGTGCCACTCCATAACCGCTCCTTTGATTTCGTTTTTTAGAAAGTATACGAAACAAAATCATATTTTTTTTATCAAAAAGCTTTATTTATATTAAATGATATATCAAAATATTTATAACCTTTTATTAGCTTTTAAAAGTAATAAGTTTTCTAAATTAGAATCTAACAAACATCCACGCCTCTCCCTTAAGAGCTATTTTGCAATACTTACTAAGCGCTACACAGGAGCACTAGAGGGAAGTGGGGTATTGTATTTTATAAAGATATTTTTTATTCAGGGAATTTATCTGTAATTTTGGTATCATTATTTAAAAAATATTTGTCCAATATATTATCTTCCTGATGATCAATTTCATGGAATCCAAAAAAATTTCCAAATCATTTTGTATTTAAAAGAAAGGTTTTTTACTTTTAGATGCTCTTTTAGATTGAAGCTGCTCACTTTTGAAAATTAAATAGTTTTATTTAAACACAAAAGGCATTTTGCCCTTAAATTTGTTTGATCATTTGGATCCACATCTTTTAGAAGTTTAAAATATTTTTTGTATGATGGAAATGGAAATTCGATTTCTTCATCTATGATCTCTAAATCCATAATATCTAATACTATTTTTTATTATATATCTATAAAATGAATATTAATATGTCTTACAAGATTTTTCAAAAAATTTTCAATATAAAAAGGAAAAACTTAATGTTTAATGTTTAAAATGGTTAGATAAAAAAGCCAATATAAAACTCGGCTAAAAATTTAATTATGGATAAATTAAAATAAAATTTCAGTTTTATCCAATTTTAATTAACAAATATTATTAATATTTAAAAAATAATTTAATTTATACTTTAAATTTAAAGGAGCGGTGGAGTGCGCTCCTCCACTCCAGCCCTAAAAGGAACTAGTTCCCGCTCCCATTCTTCAATTTTAAAAAGGAAGAGCGCTCCAGGTTTTTTTGAAAAAATGTAGCGGCGCTCCAGGAGCGCCGCTCCTTAACAACTCTGTTATAAAATGATGTTTAGGCAAATATTTTGTGAGATAAAGGATAAATTGAAACAAAATAATTTTAATACGTTAGTAGGATTTTATTTTAAGATATCAAGAGAATAGTACGGCTTTCATTTTATCAATATAAAAGTGATGTTGCTGCATAGTCGATGACATCTCATTAATTTTAAATATAATAATTAATCAATTTATGCTTGTTTATAAAATTTTATTTTAAAAAAAATTAAATTTATTATTAAAATTAACGAAATCGAGTTTGGAAGTATAAATGCGAGAATCATTTTTTTTAATAAAATGTTTTGACTTTGGACACCTAATCAATAGAGTTATCTAATTTTTAAATAAATCGAAGTTTCAGACTTTAAATGTGTTAAATATTTCTTAAAAAAAGGAATTTTAAGCAGTTTATTTACTCAGATAATTCGAATTAAATTGTCATTTTGGGCAAAAGCTTATAATAGTATGATCAACATTTAAAGTGCATACATAGAGAGCGAATGGTATACACTTGCAATAATTTTAAATATTTATAGTATTGCCATTGGTAGAAACGCATTATAAGTTTAATATATATTATAATATATTCTTTTATAAATATTTTTACGAAAGGTTGGGAAAAAAATTGTATTATAATTCGTTTCTTTAACGTCATAAAATTTATAAAAGGTCAAGAATTTTGAATTCATAAAAAACAGTGACATATCTAAGTGAATATGGCCCGCTTCACTCTTCCTGGAAAAGATTTATCGGGTAAAAATGTGCTTGCATAATTTTTTATATTAGATGATCATGTGTAGATGAAAAGGAAGATTTGGAATTGATTGATCCCCACTCTCTTTATTGTTATTTATATCAATTTTTTGAGGGTATTTTAGATTAGAAGTAACAAACTTATTCAATTTTGATTATAATTTCTTTAAGGAGCTTATATATTTTTCTTTTAATAGTTATTTTTTTCTTTATACTGATACCAAACGGATTGAAGCCCTAAATTTAAATGCATTAAAATTAAACCTATGTATTGTCATGTTTTAGAGTTAGTGCTTACAAAGCATATGTGTAGAAATGAGTGGTGGAGGAGCGTTTTTGTCCCCACCCGCTTCCATTAATCTGTCTGTTTTTGTAATTATCATTTTAAGATAAGAAAAATTTTCTTTCCTATAACCTTCTCTTCCAAAAAAAAGGATAAGTTTTTAACATTAGTGATTCCAAAAGTTTAGCTGACTTTACGGTGTGACATCATAATTTTTATTTTGTGGCTTGCAAAATTCAGGAATCTAATTACACCCTAAATATTTTAGCAAAGCCGATATTATTCTCTATTTTCCCTTCTAGAATAATTTCCATTTCTTTTTTTTCTTTTTTATAATGATTATGAATTGAGGTACTAAGCTAGATATACTAAGTAAGTATAGTATAAGTTTTAAAATAGGTGCTTAATCAAGTATAAAGAAAGAGAGTTGTCTAAAATTTCGTTTTTTATATAACGGCTATGAAATTAATTGAAGTATTTAATAGACCAAAAATTATATAATATCTTAGAAATTAAATTAATTATTTAGATTCCCGGCTTAACGGGCATTGTAGAAATAGAAACCATTAACACTTTTTTTGACATGAAAAATCCAATGACAGAGGCAAATTTTAAGATAAATCCTGCACGCCTTTCTTTTATGTACAAATGGTGGCGTTAACTCCGGTTCTCAGCCCTCCCCTTCTTAGCTAGGTTAAGTTTAATATCTAGCTACAATGATACGGATCTACAAAATGTTATATTCGAATTTGATATGTAATTTTCAATCAGGTAGCAGAGCAGACCTACCTCCAGAAAGATTGGGGAATTTCACTTAAGTATCTTCTGATTGCTTAGTTAGAGCAAAGTTCTATGATTAACCATATTTGACTATAAATAGTTATAAAATTTCTCGTTAAAATATGGGATTTCTTTTAACTATCGAAGAACTTCCTATTGTCATTTAGTTACGTTTGGGGTTCCATATATCTTTCACTTTAACATTTACAAACTGTTTCTTACCTTTATATTATAAAGGGAACCATCATTTAAAAGGTAAATG